AAGCATCACTCTGGTACTGATCACCATCTTCCGCCTCCAAAAGGGGCAGGCAGGAGACATGCTGCCAGGCTCTTCACTAGCAGTTGGAGAGGAGGGGACGGTGCTGAGCTGGTCTGGGATCCATTGAACTCTGAGTCGGTCTCACTTGGAGCTGGCTACCCTCTCCATTCCCCACCCTGAGCAGATGGACCGTGGGTTTTTATTTATTTATTGCATTTATGTCCCACCTTTTCCCTCATCCCAGTTATGTGCCATCAGGACAGCCTCACATTGGCTCCTCAGTGGTATTTGGAGGCATTTACTTATTTTTAATTATCTCCCTTGGCTCAAATCAAGCCCAGATCCAAGGGGGGAAATTGTGTCACTGATGAATGGCCTGAAACAAGCTGAAATTCTGCACATTTATTTCAGTAATGGTTGTGGGCATCTATAATGTGTCAAAAGAAGAGCATTTTTCTGTTCTCTCCTCTTTTGTGCATTTTCTGGTGTGTCCATTAAAGCCAAGGCTGTGTATATTCCATGAATCATTCTGCTTTAGCATTGAAAAGTGCAAAATTAGGTAAGTGAGCACAGAACTCAGCATCCTGAGGCCACAGCTTTTTTAAAGGGGGGGGGCATAAGAGGTAACTTACTGCGTAATATGGCTGGACTGCTGAAAGTGTCTGATTTAAATCTCAGAAGAATCAGGGAGGGAGACTTAATAGAATTTCCATTCCTAAGAGCCAGGCTTTGGTGTGCCATGCATTGCTCTCTGTTCTTCTTCATGGAACAAATAAATTGTTCTAAATAAAATGCATGCAAAGTATGTATCACTTTTGCAGCATATATATGCTATGCAGAATCCAACTTTGCTTACTTCAGGATTTAAATGGCATTTTTTCAGCTTGAAGCACACATAGCTAGCCCAACTCAACCACTGTGACTATTTTAGGAAAGAAAGTTTTCTTGTTGCTAGCCTCTTCTAATATAGGGATGCATTTCATCTGGAATTCACATAGCCAAGGAAAGAAGCCCTTGTTCTGGGAGATTTGGCGGTACACCAGTACAAAGAATAACTAGGATGTTGTTACCAGCAGTGACATTGGTTCTACATGGCAATGCTTGTGGATTCAAGGCCCAACAATGCCTCCCTGCCTGTTAACAAGCAGCCACATGGCACAGCATACAATGTAACACAAAGAATGAAAGCAAATGATTATTTCTTTGTTTATTTTACTACCATCCTTCACCCTAAAGTGCCAGGGTGGGGTACAACAATTAAAACACAATGTTAAAAAAATTTACAATCTCAAAGACAAAATGGGTGCTAAAAATATACATCTCAGGTGTCAAAAGCCAGAGCAAAGAGGGGCATCTTGAGGAGATACTGAAGTGGAGAAGCACAGGAATGCTTTTGTGAATCATTGTCCAATGTGTATGCTGGCCAAACATTGTCATGAAAATTGAGTGTTTTACACTGCACCGCAGCAAAGAAGATATACCTGCAAACAGGACATCATACAAGCAAATATTCTTTTCCTCTTCTGTTGTGATGCATCTGAAAAGAGAAGAAGAACTTGTTCTACCTCTGAGAAGCTTCTTACTGGCTAAATGGTGGCAAAAGGTGGTGTATGAGAAATTATTGACTACTGGGATATCCCATGTGACCAACAAAATAGAATTTTCTCCAGCTGCTAATAATACAAATTTGGAAAATGAACTTTCTCACAGAGTTGGAAGCTAGAAGGTTTTCTGTCCAATCCATGTTGTGCTTGTTTTGTTTTCAGTCCAGTTCCCGGGGTGATAGCTACAAACTTAGCATGCTAGATCGGCAGACCAAACGACTGTCCACCTGTTGAACTCTGCCTTCCTGGTGAATCATGGTGCAGATGGCAGCGCCATTTTCAGAGCTATAAACAGTATAATTGTCATAGCTCTTTGAATGGTACTGCCATATGTACCAGAAAAGCAGCATTTAGATGTGCAAGGGCTTTGGGTCAACTGAACTGCCTTTGTAAATTACTGTATATGGAATTCTAAAGTGAGCTTGAATGCTATGTTAAGCTTTAGAGGATATGCTCCAAGAATGTTCTCACCTGCAATAAATCCAAGTATATGTCAACAAATTGATCATGCAGACAAGACATTGAGCAGCAGCTCAATGACAAAATGACTAAAATCAAAACAAATAACCAGCAGGTTGTTTGCTTGAATGAATGGTGTATTTCTACAGTGATGTATGTTTAGCATGCACATGTGCAGGTGTTTAATGGATCTCTTTCCAATAAATCTGCTTTTCGGTATGACTTTAAATATTTCCTTCGATATCTGCATGCACTGGTGGACAGAATAGTACCCATAATTTGTGCTGTAAGTGCAAAAAAATAACATGATGAAAGACTGTAGTAATGAAAAAGGGAATGATACAGAGAACATGGTGAAACAAAGACCACTTTCCCCTAAGACTCCTCTAACTTGGTGTGGAGGGCCTGTTGCTTAGTGCTAATGTGCCTGTTTTACATGAAGATGGTTCCAGGTTCAATTCCTGGCATCTCCAGTTTTATGACAATCTGGTTTTAATGGTAGATGCAAAAGACCTGTGCTTTTGACTCTTAAGATCCATTGTTTGTAATAGGCAAATTGAGTTGGAATAAGTTTTCTTCCTTTGCTCCAACCTGTGACTCCTTGCATTCTGTGCTGTTGGTTGTGACTGGCATGGTTGGCTGTTTGACCTATCATATTGTACATCCGAGAGTATGCAGAGCAAACTTTTCTCTGCTCCTCTCCAGGTCACTCTCTCTTATTCAGCGTCAGGCATAATTCATTTTTGAGTTCTCTGTTCATCTATCATGTCGCCCTCTTTATTCACTTGTATACGCATTACATTTCCTGATCAAATGGAAAAAAAGATGTTTAAGTCACATACATATAAAACAGACATTTTCTTTATTTCTTTGTATACAGTGGTACCTCTGGTTACGTACTTAATTCGTTCCGGAGGTCCATTCTTAACCTGAAACTGTTCTTAACCTGAAGCACCACTTTAGCTAATGGGGCCTCCTGCTGCTGCTGCGCTGCCGGAGCACGATTCCTGTTCTCATCCTGAAGCAAAGTTCTTAACCTGAGGTACTATTTCTGGGTTAGCAGAGTCTGTAACCTGAAGTGTATGTAACCTAAAGCGTATGTAACCGGAGGTACCACTGTATAAGCGTTTCACATCTCCAGGGGATAAAATGCAGTAGGTGATTTCAAACCTCCTTTAGTTCTTTATGGCAATTTTGACTCGCCCTTTTCAACTGAGAGCCAATTCTGTTTTCGTGTTTAGCCAGTCTCTTGGGCCTTTTCCTACTACTTGTTTTCTTACTTTTTCCATTCTTTTAGTGTGTGATCAAAAATCTTTAGCCCTCTCAAAAATACAAGAGTACAGCAATCTGTGCCAAAGCAGCCATTGTAGTGCTGACCCTGTTTACTTCAATAATTACCTGAGCATTGCCTCAAGGCATTAATCAAGTGGTGCAGTTTCCAGTTTAATGTCATCCTGCAGCATCTGTAACAGCTGCAGGCAGATATATGTCACTTGGCTCTTCTTGCATTTGTTCTGTAATTGACAGTCTGCTCCTGCCAGGCCTAATTATGATCAAGCCTGTTTTACTGTGAGTTCTCTACAAGAAAAGGCTTCACCTAGACTAATTTTAACTATTAAGATGGATACATTGGTGAGGATGTTGTACCTAAAATGTAGCGATTATCATCTAATGCTGCGGTAGTCCATAAATGAATTCCAGACAAAGGTTTTGTTTTGTGGGTAGTGTGCACTTAACATTCGCCAAACTGTCAAGAGATAGCAGTGAGGTGGTCTAATGTCAATGAAGTTACACCATATTTTCACCAGTACAAATTGATCTAGAATGTGTTTCCTCTGACACAGATAGAAGCTCTTGCACAGAATGTGTGTTTTATCTTACCCCTGCAATGAGGGAGTATTTATTATTAGATTATTAGCTTGACTTGCCATGCTTGTTCTGTATACACACATCTCAAATTTGTGCTCTTTGAGAATAGCCTGTTTGGGTAAATCTGGCTTATGTGCATTGGGTTTTGTTTCTGTTTTACTCTCAAGTCATTAGCTTCAATAAAATCAGTGAACATGGTCATTTTTACAGAATAAGAAGAGTAATAAATTGGTCTTTCTTGTAGCATTCAATAGTGATGGTTTCATGAATGTGTGAGGATGAAGTCCTTACAGCATGGGTGCAATTTGTATGTATGTCTTATGTTAGTGGGTGGAATCCAATGAGATGAAAGTTCCATCAGTGCAAGGATTTCTGCTTGCACAATGGAATATTCTTTTCCCCCCCTTTCCTTGTGGACCCCTAGATCTGCTCTAGATTTTCCCTCAACCATCTGCAGCAGGTTTGAGAGTGGATGGTATGGAGGGCATGGGAGGGAAGTCTTGTTGTACAAACAGAATTTCTTGTGCTGATGGGAATCATTAGAGAATACATCCTTGGACCTGCATGTCATTGGCTGTATTCACGCAGCACTTCATTCCATTTCTCTGATGTTACCCTAACTGTGATTTCAACATTATATTTACAGTTTCACATACAGTGGTATCTCAGGTTAAGAACTTAATTCATTCTGGAGGTCCATTCTTAAACTGAAACTGTTCTTAACCTGAGGCACCACTTTAGCTAATGGGGCCTTTTGCTGCTGCTGCACGATTTCTGTTCTCATCCTGAAGCAAAGTTCTTGACCTGAGGTACTATTTCTGGGTTAGCAGAGTCTGTAACCTGAAGCATCTGTAACCTGAAGCGTCTGTAACCAGAAGCGTCTATAACCTGAGGTACCACTGTAATGCAAAAGCCACTTTAATAAAACCGATGGAATGTGGTGCATTTTAAGTGTTTGTTTCCATGTTATTTGATTCAAGGAGAGGGGGGATGCTGCCACCTTAACTCAGAAAACCAAGTGGGGTTTTCTGTTGTTTTTATACAGGAATCAAAGGGGAAACAGAAGCAGCCTGGATAGCTCAGTTGGTTATAGTGTGGTGCTGATAATGCCAAGGCTGCAGGTTTAATCTCCATATGGGACAGCTGCATATTCCTACACTGCAAGGGGTGGGGCTAGATAATCTAACCTGAGGGTCTCTTCCAACTCTACAGTTCTATGATTCTATGTGTGGAAAGGGTAGGAGAGCGATGATGTTGTCCAGTATTGATTGTTGTGTCACAGCATTCCCACTGATGTGAATGAAATTTAGTGTGACATGTCAGTATACCTGTCAAAAATCCACAATTCCATAACACAAGTGCTGCAATGTGAAGGGAACACTGGAAAATGAGGCAGAAGTGCCAGTGTTACAGTGAGAAAACTAAAGCCATATTCCCCACATCTTAATGCATCTGTATCTGTAGAAATATTTTTTGTATGAAGAACAATTAATTATTATTAATTACTTGAAACTGACAGGAGGGCAGAGGTTCCTATCATGTCCTTCTGTATACCCTGCAGGCCAATTAACCCCTTTAGCTACTGGATTAAAATACTGTGAAAAGTGCTGATCCTAAGGATAGCACAATGTGTTACTACAATTAAATGAAGAAAATGACTGAGATCAAGAAATTGCCTGAAGCCCTTAATTGGAACTAATTAGGCGAAGTGATTTACAACAGAGGATGGAAGTGAGCAGTGCAGATGGCTCTCATTGGCTCAAAGATACAGCTGTGACAAACTGATTCATAAAGATGCATATCTGGAACAGTCTGTTCAGTAACACACACATTCTCTCCCTCAAGTTCTCTGAATAAATTTTCATGAAAAATCCAAATTAGAGGCTGTTAACTTTCTCAGCATGAAAGTTGCCAATGAAATGATGGATTGGGCGGGGGAGGGGCTGGTCTGAAATTAAGAGGAATTCACAGTTGTACTTCAATACCATGTTGGTTAAAAACACAATAAAATATGGAGCGAGGGAAGCATAAGGTATATTTATATAAGGCAGGGGAAAGTGTAACCACCTTGGTGATTACCATTGGCCATGCTGGTTGGAACTGATGGCAGTAGGAGTCCTACACCTGCAGAGCCACAGGTTTCCCAGCCCTGATGTGAGACATGTGCATACTCAACATGGTTTAAACCAGGTTTCCTGAACTTGGTGCCTTCCAGATGTTTTGGACTACAAGTCCCATCAGACCCAACCAACATGGTCAGGGATGATGGGAGCTGTAGTACAGCAACCACTGAAAAATATATCTCATGGCCATAATTTTCCTTTTAACTGCCAAAGGCCATGCAAAATGAATTTTGCGATGTCTTTCACATTCCTTTGTGGTACTTGTTTCTGAGTTCACTCGGGAGCCATTCCCAAATGTTTGAGAATTATTTTGCTCATCACAAAGAGGGAGTATGGAGCAGGCCTTGATCTGATGACAATAGTCAGTGTATGCTACGGTAGTATTGTAAGGAGCTAGCATATAGTTAATGAAGCTTTATATCACTTGTGAAGTCATTGGCATGTTATGTTGTGGCAGACCATATTATATCTGGGCTCAAAGGAAGTTCGCTGATTGGAGGAACTTTCAGAGTCACACAGGGCGCTACTGAAATTTGAGATCCCAAGGTCCGCCACTCATCAGGTCTGCCTAATTGTTTGTTGGTCTCCCTAATTGTTATCTTACATGCAGTTCTAGAGAAAAATACAACATGACTCAAGTATCCCAGAGCAGACATCGAAGGAGAGAGAGAAAGAGAGAGAAAACCTCACTTCATTTCTGCATTAGAATTCTAGAGGCTTCAGAGACATAGCTTTGTTATATATATTTTTTATCTCTCTAGAGGGTCTTCTGCAGTTCAGTGAAAGTACTCGTTAGTTGCTGTCTGGTGCACTTTTGCCTGCATGGAAGCTAATTTTGTCTAGGAAATTGTTCTCATGTACATGCCAGCTCTTTGCTGCTGTGTTTAATCATCAACTACACCGAGAAAGCTTTGGTGACAGTAAATGTTGTGTGAAGTACCTAAGGGGTATTTATTCTAAAAGCATTGACTACTGAACCTTGGAAAACTTCTACCTCATACAAAAAAAGATGCAGTGAACTGAAGGCAGCCTGGTGTGCAGCAATGTCATACCATCAGAGACGCTGTCACACTGTCAGAGAGCACACCTGTTAAATGCAGTGTGCACGGTGCACAACGTATCAGGCTTCACCATACAAGCCCCTCTGAGCATGCTGTTTTGCCAGGCAAATACTCTGCCTGCTTTTGAAGAAATTGTATTGTACTGATGTTTACTATAGGTTTCATGTAAAGAACATCATGGGAATTTAGCAACACTTTGGTTCATTCTATCTTTCTGCTCTTTTCACATTTAATGCACAGGTGCAGTTTCCTTTCAAAGGCAGGAAGTATTGGATGTAGCTTGCCCTTCTGCTATGAGAAGAAGGCATTTAGACAAGGTCATGCTGATATTGACCTTGGAGATATTCTACATCCCCAAGGGATGTCCTATACACAAGAACAAAATGGGCCAGATTCAACTAACTTGTCCCACTAGCAGAAGCCCATGTAAGGACTTGCACTGGGGCTTTCCGCCTCCCCAAAATCCACTCTGAAGTGTCAGGAGAACCCCCAGAACCGCACATGAGAAGAGCAGAGGGGAGATTGTACCAGCAAGCAATCAAAAATGCTTTTGTTGGTGGAATGTTTGCAGCATCACAACATTCAGTTCTTCCCAGTATTTCAATGTATTCTGGAGTACAGGTGAGTAGAAGTTAAATTGGGTTCTGCTGGCAGGTTGCTGTATGATTTGTAGAAGAGCGACTGTGCTCTCTGAGCCACTGTTTTGCACTTGGCTCTTCCCACCTCCCTGGCCCCAAGATACATATGCAGTCGTACCTTGGAAGTTGAACAGAATCCGTTCTGGAAATCCATTCGACTTCCAAAACGTTCGGAAGCCAATCAGAAGCCGCAGAAGCTCCATCAGATGTTTGTGTTCCAAAGAACATTCACAAACAGGAACCCTCACTTCTAGGTTTGCGGCGTTTGGAAGCCAAAACGTCCGAATACCAAGGCTTTTGGAATCCAAGGTATGACACCTCTGTATACTTAGGCAGTGATTGCTCTTGGTAATTAGATACCTAATGTGGATGAATATATGTGCAATGATTGTACTGAGAGTGAATATCTAGGCAAGGAAATTGAAACACTGCTCCTGACCACTGGGATTCCTGCTCTTCCTTCTTTTCCAGTCATGTTTTTGTCCCACTTTCAATCCAAAGAACTTAAAATGGGCTACCTGTATTGATCCTGTTCTGTCTTAGTGATGACCCTGTTTGGTAGTTTAGGCTAAGAGATGTACTGCTTGCTGTCATGTAGTGCTAAGGACTTAGTCCTTATGAGCAAACATTCAGTCTCCTGGAAAGATCACAGGCACTTTGCTCCTCCCCTGCTGTTTTGCTGCTGAGCTAGACCAAGCCATGGTTTGGCTTAGCATGTCGTCCAACTCTGTTTTAAAAGAAAATAATTTAAACTGAGGCAGCTGACTTACTGATTATTTTTTTCTTTATATAAGTATTATGATTATTCATAAGCACAACAGTAAAAAAAACAAATAGAGGAGGGCCTGCCATCGAGGAGCTTATAGCCTAAAATAAAAGGAGGATGAAAAATATTGCATTAATACAGATAGTGGTCAGACTGACTTTAAGAGTCCCAGTTACACAGTAGCTTATGCCATATTTCCAGCTGATCCACAGGTTACTACTTCATGGTTTCTTATTGGAATTAAATGAGAATTTGCTTAAAACTGCAGCAATTAATCATGGTATGGTCTTGAATAATGTTTTTAAATGCTTTTAAATTTTGAGAAGTTTCTCTCTTCATTTTTTGTCTGGCTGGGTTGATACTTTAAGTATGCACATCTGATGGCTTAAATAAATGATCAAACATAACAAAAGCCTTTGATTTTGACATTTGAACTGTCCCTTGATACTAAAAATATTCAGGAGTATATGATTAAATTGGCTCAAGCCATTGGAAACTCTTGTTTAACATTATGGCAGACTGTTCTATTGATGGCTATGAAGATTTTATGATTACATACAGTTATTATCTCACAAAGCTAAGTGCTATGGCATGGAAAATACCCTCCAGAGATATCTACAGAACAAGGGATTAATGTGCAATTCTAAACCATTTGAAGATGGAACAGTAAGGCAGCCACAGAGATAATAAAGTTTAAATTGCTCATGTAAATCTTTGAATGTTGGAATTTAATCACATCAAAGATCAAATTAATTGGCTAATAGCTCCCCTGATAGGAACAGAAGGCCCAAATGATTTACTGTTTTTCAAGATGCCTGATCACAATAATAATTCATTGGTTCTTTTTTCTTAGCTGTTAACAAAAGATGACTTTGCATTTGAAACAATAGTTTATTACAGGCATAGGCAAACTTCGGCCCTCCAGATGTTTGGGACTACAATTCCCATCATCCCTGACCACTGGTCCTGTTAGCGAGGGATGATGGGAATTGTAGCCCCAAACATCTGGAGGGCCGGAGTTTGCCTATGCCTGGTTTATTAGGTAGGCAGCATTAAGAAATAAACAGGTCCACTGTGGGGCATTTGTCAAATGTCACAAGAGGTTAACACCCAACTGTGTGATGCTAGTAGTGCCTGAGAACGAAATGAACTCTGCTGTTCTGAGGGCCCCTAAATGTGGGGAAGCAGAGCTACACATATAAATAAATAAGTGTGCATCACCTGTCCTTTCCTTTAGACTTTTCTTTGCCCATGAAAATCAAATTCAAGTAATAGCTGCAGTATCTCACAGTGCTTTATTACTGGCTTTTTCTTCCTATTATGCAACAAAATGGTGAGATCTCTATGTCACACATGGATCCCTAACACAGGAGATTCATTTAGGAGATTCTTTATTCCTTCCATTTCCAAACTGAGCTTTTCAACTGCCAACTGAGGGACTTGCAATCTGAGTTTGATTCTCATGCCTGGTGGAAAATGCTTTATAACTAAAGGAAAAGGTGAAAAATATCAAAACTAGGATTGCTGCCATGATGGGAAGAAACCCAAATATTA